AATTTAATTTTAATTATTTGAAAATAAAAATATTTGAAAATTATTTTATGTTTTGCTGTGCCACCCTGTATATTACATTGCTTATCATTGTATCATTCATATGCTACATTGTTCACATACGGTTTCACATTATACTGTAGTAGTAGTTAGAATAGTAACGAAATTTAAAATTTCTATGTAGGATAATTACAGTGTCATAAATATACCGTATTTTACTTTATTTTCATATTAGACTTTAATAATTATTTTATATTAAAGCAAAATAAGGTATTTATTTTTAGATCCTATAAAATATAATTTTAAAATATATAATCTAGAAAAAATATTTCTATAAATGACACAAAAAAATTTATTACATTTTAAAATTTAATATAGATTTTAATTGCAAATAAAGTGCAAATATATTTAAATGTGCAAAACTTTTAGAAAATTATTTATTGAATATAAAATATAATATTAATTTAATTTCACTTTAAAATGTCATATTAAGTGCGAATTATTATCTTTTGATAAAAGCATATGAATATAACAAATGAAAAATAACTTTATTATAACTTTTCGGATACAGAGATATGAATTGAAAGCCGGAATTCAATCGATAGTAATATTAAGGCTAATATACATTGTCTTACATTATATTTACGACAAAAATGTCTTTCAAATACTTTACTTAATAAGTAATTTCTTATATTCAAGTATAATATGAAGTCCACAATAATATACTAAAAGATATTTTTGTAAATTTTGTTCATAAAGTCCTACACATTATTGTCTTAAATAACTCCTGAAACACTATATTAAGTCAAGAATTTTATTTTGAGTCATATTTTTAATATAACTTGTTGTCAATATCTTTGAACAAAATAGTATATTAATAGCGAGTTTGTAGTGAAAGTAAGCTTATATAAAGTTTTAGTTATTCAGATTATATCGCTGATAAGATAACAATGAAGTCAATTGTGTGCGTAATCTTGATATTTACAGTTTTCAATCAAATGAATGTCGTGTCAAATGTACCCATTGATCGCATAAGACTTTGTATTATGTATGTATTGATTGGTAACTATTTATAACTAAATACTGAAGTGTATAAACATTTTAAATTACCTGTATTTTGTAACATATGTTTCTCTCTCTCTCTCTCTCTCTCTAAAAGATTAAATCATTTTAATAGTACTGTAATTAAAATGTTATCCTATAACAGGAACTGTGGTCAATGTAAATCAATGTACGGCCAGTACTTTTTGGGCCAACAGTGCGCTCAGCACTGTATCGACCACAAGGAGCTACTGATGACCGGTGAGCTACAGGTGCCCGACTGTAATGCCCCGCATTCTATACTTCCATACATACGGAAGTTAATGGATGATACAGATGCCAAAAATGATATCATTTAATACATACATTTATTAATCATTATTTTAACATAACATATTATATCAATATATTACACTATAATATAAATCTATATTATCATTAAGTAAACAGCTTGTTATTAGTTTAAATGTAATAATATTTAATTAATTTAATCAAACTAATAATTTAATTAAAAAATTATTATGTATAAAATATTATTACAGTATATAACCATAAGATTATTAAAATAAATATTATTTATTTATTATTTATTATTATGTATATACAGCAAACAGAATGTAAATCAATAAAATTAATTTAATGTTAATAAAAGTTTAATTTATTAATAAAATATATTCGCATCGTATTTAATACTATTATTGTTTTAAGTATTTAAAAATAAACGTTTCTAGTATAAATTCAATTACTATTACACAAGCCATAGCATACATTGATGTAAACAAATCACCAATAAAATAAAATTTAATAATATCAACGCTATTAGTATTGGAGTGCATATCAATATATCTCTTTGTATATTTATCCAGGTATTTTAAATTATCAGACAACACATGGTCTCCAAAAATTTTTTGATAAAAATCGAGTCGAGACCTACAACTCGTATGAATCCCTGTCTCCACTAATCTATTGATTCTGTATTTAAGAAATAATATTAATTTCATGTTGTATTAGCTATAATAGGAATTGTTTAATAATTACATTTTAAATACATGGGTCCGACCTTCGGTGGGCTCCTTATTAATAGGGTGTCCCAAAAGTATTGGCGAGTATTTCTCACTTCCAATGTTTAATAATAGCTCCAAATTAAGCATAAATGCATCGATTATAGACTCGCCATCCCTTAGAAATGTATATTTTCTGTCTGATATTTGTCGCATAATATTCTGCAAAATAAAATAAAAACTTTAGAAATAAATATGCTCAAGTCCAAATTGAACCGCTATAACTTTTTAAATGAGTAGCATTAATATGGGAAAAACCTAACTAATAGAATCTACATTACGTATTAAATAGATTTACATTGAACAAAATATACAATTAAACAACAAAGTTATAGCGGTCACTTTAATTTTAACTCAAACATATATTTTAAAAATATTTTAAATATACTTTTATATGATCTACAGTAGTGTGCACATCATCTATATAGGTGACCCTGTCCATTTTGTATATGATCTCCAGGTGCTCATTTATTGGTGAATCCCATTCCAAGTAGTTCTTGATATCCCACCACACGTTGGACTGATTGGCCACAAAAACCCTTTGATCCGATGCCACCAACTCTTGCAATGAGTTAATTGTTTGTATGTTTTGATGGACTATTGAGACAAGGATTTGGCTTTGAAAATACATCAATAAGACTAACACCATAAATGACCACATGTTGGTTATCCAGGCATTAATTCCCACAATTCCTTCTAGGTACTCTCGTTGACTTTGATTTATGATATACCTACATAAATGCCACAATATGCCTAGCAGGCTTTTGTTTCCTAAAATTAATTACAATTAAACAATAAATGTATTAGTGAATTCAATATACTGTAATATACTGTTGATAGTGAATTCAATATTTTGTTTATAATGAATACGGTGTTTATATTTTGATTTATATTATATATTTTTAAGAGAATAATATATATTTTATATAAAATACCTTTATTTGCATGAAGCTTATTGTCTATATATTTAACAATAGTTAAAATAATTAGTGACATTAATATTAATATCCAAATTATTAATGTAAACGTTGTGAACATTGTAAAAATATGAGTTTTATCTGTTTGAGTACCGCTTAATATAACTGTATTATACTCATCGGTATACCACTGAGCACGGGCAAATGTT